AACCGCCCCTTCCACAAACCTGCCGCCGCCTCGACGATTGGCTGCCTCGAAATCACTCCCGTTTCTTCTACCATCGCCCACTTTGTCACTCGCCCTCCCTTCCCATGTCTAGACGGACCTCCGCTATGGCGAACGGTAGCAGCACCGCGCCGGCCAGCGGCAGCGCCGAATTCAGCCAGCCTGGTATGCTCATCCCATCACCTTCTTCTCACCTCGCCTTTGCTTCCGCTGTACTGACATATACATGTACATGTAGCATATGACAAACAGAAGATCCTCCTGTCGACGGACCCTGGCCACTTTTCTCTTGTTCGCGCCCTGCACCTGGCCGATTTCATCACGGAGCTCAACGGTATGCCTCGGCCATCCTGTCCGGCCCTACCGGCCTGTCGCAACGTTATGCTGACTCAGTTTTTCTTCGTCTTACTTTAGGCCTTTGCGGCATCCTCTCCATCTTCTCCTCTCTGCGGTACTGCATTGACCCGACATCTCGCTTTAACCTGTGGATCGCCCTGGCGCTTCTCCCGCTGGGCCTCTTCTTCGACGCCATGGACGGCAAGGTCGCCCGGTGGCGCAAGAAGAGCAGCATGATGGGCCAGGAGCTCGATTCGCTGGCCGACCTCATTTCCTTTGGCGTGGCCCCGGCCGCCGTCGCCTTCTCCATTGGCATCCGCTCGACCGTCGACCACGTCATGCTCGCCTTCTTTGTGCTCTGCGGCCTTACCCGCCTTGCCCGCTTCAATGTTACCACCGCCGTCATCCCTAAGGACAAGTCCGGCAAGGCCTCGTACTTTGAGGGCACGCCCATCCCAACGAGCCTGGGCCTCGATGCAATTATGGCCTACTGGATCAGCCAAGACTGGATCCTGGACAACCTCCCGCTGGGCGCGTGGTTTGAAGGCACGGCATTTGAGCTGCATCCGATTGCGCTGCTGTTTGTGGTGCACGGCTGCCTGATGACCAGCAAGACGATCCACATTCCGAAGCCGTAAGACTTTCGACGGAAAGATCCGAAGCAGACCAGGCAGACAATGTTGTGGTGCATTCCGTGGAAGAAAGACCGGCCGAGCTGCTGAGGTTGGTCTTTGGCGCAGGAGGAGCAGGCTTGCAAGATGCCGTCATGATGCAAGGGCAAGCGGGCGTCGAGATGATCTGTCTTTGCATAGAACACGGCCTTGTACTTTTTTTTGGTCATTTTCCCTTTCCGATTTCACGTATTTGATATTTTCTGGTTCTGTATTGTTTGTTTTCCCGTCCCCTCCCTTTCCCCACTCGAATGTTCTCAACGTTTTTGGTCTGGGACACGTTGGCGTGCTTTGTTTGGCATTTTATATACACGGCATCTTTCTGAAAGTACTATGAACCGAAAAAAAGAAGATAAGAATAAAGAACATAACAGCAAACGGTTGGCGTAGGAACAGGGAAAAGGACATGGACACTGTCATCTCGGGTTTGTTCAACAGGATACCAAATTGACGGCTACTATTTTCGTTACTATTTATCGAGTCTTACCATTTGTTCTGCTTTGAAGGTGTGCTCCAGAAAAAAATAGAGGCATTTTAATGAGGCGCCGATAGAAGTGTCAAGTCCGACAAAAGGCTCCGGAAAGCGGACAGGTCCTCCAGTTCATGGGGGTAGAGAAGGTCGCCCCAGCGCTGCTCTATCGCACCTTCGCCGGCTCTCTTCCGGAAATTTGGGAGGACCACCCCGCAATCTGCCAGCCAGAACACGGCCACAGCTGCTTCGGTATTACGACGTATTAATTACCCCTGTAATTATAGCACGCCACAGGCGCGAAGCGAACCGTGGGTCGCCGCTTCCCAACACGACCTAACGGTTAGTACATATGTTTGAACCGCATCTCTTACCGGTTTCGCAAACGGAATGGTTTTTTAAACGACACATGTTCCGGACGACCTTCCAGCATTCTACCAAACCCACCCTCGCGGTCCAGCAGCACCTATTTGGTACCTTTCGATTATTACAGATGCTTGTCATTCGTCTCGCATCGCAAGATCTTTTGAACATCAGCGCCGGCGCGACCTTGGGCGTCTTGAAGCCAACAATTCTAGCTGAGCCCCTCCACCTGAGCGCTCCCTTCATCCCCTCGCAGGCGACACCCGCCAGCAGACCGCCGTGGCGCATGATTGCAGACACGCTCTTGTAACCATCTGCGAGGACCGGGCCTTCCGGCCAGCCCAAGCATCCGCTCACCTGCCATGGCGTCTTTTGACCAGGCCCCTGACGAACTCATCGTCCAAATCCTCTATCTCATACCCTCCACCGACCTCATCGCCTCCGTGCAACGCCTCTCTCGCCGCTTCTATCATCTCTGCCAAGAGCCGAAGCTCTGGCTCGCACGATGCCGCTCAGACTTTGGGCACTGGGCCGGACCGTCCCGTGCCCGTCTGGCCCGCGCAGGGCGAGCCAATCGCGGACCTTGGAAGCAGATGTGGCTGGATCGCCGGCGTGGGGACGCCAGCACAGCTCGGCACTTTGAGCATGTATTGGCGTCTAAGGTGAACCGCGTGCGCCACCTCGAGGCCATCTGCCGGCGCGGCCTCAACGCCAAGGACTTTTTGCTGCAGCAGTACCACCTGGCCGACGATGCGGCCGACGACGTCCTTGCTCGACGATACTACGCCAACACGGCACTTGCCAGTATCCATCGGGGGCTGGCCATTGAGGAGTGGTGCAAGGTGCTGTGCGAGTCTAACGGGTTCCACCGGCTGGACCGTGCCCTGGGCGCCTTCGACATGTTTGTGTTGCACGACGCCGACGAGGACATGGACCGCATCGAGGAGCTGCTTGACCAGCTGGCCGACGAGTTCCGCCGCGACCACCGGCACCCGAGCGTCGACAACATGACAGTGCGCGAAAAAGCACATGCGCTTGTGCGCTGGATCCGCATGCGCAACCTGGCCGGCATGGCCGATCCCAGTCTCAACTACCGCAACATGCGCAACTGCCTGATCGGCCAGGCGCTGACCGACCCGGAGCACCCGTCGCTGCCCATTATCTCGAGCGCCATCTTTGCCAGCATCGGCGAGCGCATAGGCCTGCGTGCCTTTTGCTGCGCCGTGCCTGGCCACGTCCATGCCACCGTCTTGGGCAACCCTGGCGAATCGGTCGACGGCACGCCGTTGGCTTCCGATCCACAGCAGCCACAACGACCAGGGCCTCCCACCGTCTCTCGTGTGACGCTTCGGGAACGAACTTTGGTGGAAGACGGGATGGACGAAGACGGGATGGGCGGCGATGGTCCTGGGCAAGGCGAGCGTGAAGGGTACAACGGATCGTCGTCCTCATCCACCCCGTCTTATGCAGTGTCGCCCATTGCGATTGCTGCCGCAGCCACGCACCAAGTGCCCACCATGACTTACCAGATGCTGCAGCTGTGGCCAATGGCGCCTAACGATCCACGTCCGTTCACAGAGGTGGTTCGGAATCCGGCATCGTTACCGGATAACGGGGAGCGCATGTTTCTCGATCCATACAACAACGACCAGGAAATGTCACTAGGGACTTTGCGCCAGAGCATTGCCGAGGTCGACTGGGGCATCGTCGAAAACCGTGACTTGCACTTGTTGCCAATGCCGACATCGGCAATCGTGTTGCGCGTGGCGCTCAACATGGAGGCCAGCTGGTCGCACGCAAACCAAGTGTCCAATGTGCCCCAACTGAGCACCGACGCACGTCGACTCCGTCGTGGTGACCCCGATATGAACCTTGAGGCCCTGTTGTACGCGACCATCTGGGCCACGGCGCTGATGCGACCACTTGACAGCCCCGGCTGGGACCGCTACCTCGACAGCTTGCTGGCGCGCTTTGCTCACTTCTACAGCGAGGATGTCTGGATCATTGCCAAGTTCTTGCTGCCGCTCTACGACCGGTACGTGGATTTGTCCGGCGGCATCGGTAACGTCGGCGGTCTTCTCTCTCGTCTCGCGGCGGGCCGATTTGGTGATGACAATCACAACAACGGTGGCAACGCAGATGACAATCTTCCACCACCACGGCATCAAAACGGACCGCCGCCGGCCGTCAACAACCACGCCAATGGCCAGCAGGAGCAGCAGCAGCAGCGCCTGCGTGGGTGGACGGACCCGCGTGTCATGATAAAGATGGTCTACAACCTCGACCAGCGCCAGCCGCTCGTCAGCCGCCGCTACACGCAGGACATTTGCGAAAAGGTGCTTTTCCGTATCGGCCAGGTCTTCCGCCACCGCCGTTTTGGCTACATTGGCATTATAAACGGCTGGTCACCCGACGACCCAACCTCCCTGCCGTCGCCCAACAACATGTCCATGGCCGAGACGACCACACCCAGTGACGCAGAAGACAGCGGTGGCAGTGGACGCGGTACGCCCGTGCCGTTTCCAAACGGTGGTGGACCACTCGCTGACACGGCTGCTGCTACCGCAGCAGCGCCGAGGCGGCGTAAAAAGTCAGCGTTCTACACGTGCCTGCGGACAGGCGTCGAGCGGCAGGTGGTGGCGCAGCGCAACATTGAGATTGTCACGGACCCGGACCTGGTTCCGGAGGCGCTCATGTTTTTGGCAGGCAAGCACTTTAAGCGCTTCGACAGGAGCACTTGCACGTTCGTATCCAACCTAAGGGAGTTTTACCCTGACGACTGAGGAGTGAAGAGCGAAGGGCTATAAAGCAAAGGCATATAAAGAGACGAGCAAACGAGCAACCGGCACGTTTGATTTCAGAATAGCGAGGCGCCATTGGATTGCACATCTATATCCGTTTTCCTGCTAGCATTTATAAATACACACGGGTTGATAAGCCCATCTCCGGGTTTTGTACGTTTTGTTCATTGCTTGCAATATGTCACATCTATCTTGTCATTAAACACCGTAGTACTTCATTAGTCGCAAATGTCCTGGAAAGAAAGAACAAATACTAAACCATATAATACATAGGACGAGGGAAATTACAGGGAGGAGATATAGGAAGCAGATAAACAAGTGTCAGCAGACTCGAGCTGTCTTTCATACCATTTCATCCTCTTCGATGATTTGATCATCTGGTTCACCTGTGGCCAGGCGTTGCAGCACGCCTTTGTCGGCTAACTTCTTGAGCCAAAAATGCACTGCCGGTGTGTAGTCGCCCTTGCGGGCTGCTGCACGGCGGACGCCACTATCGTCTTCGTCATTGCTGTTCGTCGTTGGAGGACCCCATTTGGACGTGCCGTTTGTGCCATTATTGAGCTCACCCACCCCATTTGACTCGTTCGCTTGACCAGCCGCATTTTCCTTCTTGGGCGTGTGGCACAGAGCAAGCAGACTGAAGCCAGCACTCTCATCGTACGACGCGTACTTCGCCATGCGAGTGGCAATGCGTTCTCGGGCGCTGGCCGTCCAGTCTCCGTTGAATGGGCCTTCATGTAGGTTAGCAGAGAAGATCCTTAACAGCGTACAAATCGCCTCTAGGCTGACGCACCCAACTTTAGTGGTTTCTCTTGCATGCCGTTGAGTTCCCACACGTCGTTGCCCATGGGGACATAGGCGATAAAGTGAAACGCCGGCTCGTCTTCGTCGGCGGCCTTTTTTCGCTTCTTTTTGTTGTTTGCATTCTTCCGTTTGGCCTTTTTGCCGGCTCCAGCCCACTCCAACTTGAGCGAGAGGTCAGACATGAGCATGTCAATGCGTCTGGCAAACGAGTTGTGCGTAGAACGGATGGCTTCATCGCTGCTCAGCAGGTGGCCGCGGAGCGCTGGGTGCAGAGGCTGTGTGGCCGCCTTGAAGCGCGTTAAGTGCTCACCGAGGCCAAGACGCTCACAATTCATGGCAATGTTGAGCATGGCGATCGTACCGCAGGCATTTTCTGTCGTCTGTGAAAGAGTTAGGAAAAGCAGAAAGCAAACTTGCGTAAGATCGAGAAGAGTGGCCCACCTGGTTGGCAAACCAGAGATGCTCTGGGCAGTGCTCATATTCTTCCTCTGCGTCCTCCTCCACGAACTTGTACAAAAATATCAAGCCCAGGGGCTCACTTGAAATAATGCACGTTAGTCCCATACACTTGATTCTTGGCGTGCTCATCAAACGAGATACCCACGGGAGATATGAGATGGACGACTCGTCCACGCCCATTAGCTCAAAGATGGTGGCATCTTGTATGCCTAGTCCATTCAAAATAAAGTTGAAGAATTCCTACGTTGTGCGAGTCAGTCAAGACTGTTGCGGAGTCACAAGAAATTGCCCATACAGGTCACGTACTGGCTCCGACTCAATGTCACTCCAGCCCTGCCATGCCTTGAGCTCGGTCTCGGTGATCGGCGTAAACAGCTGCTCATGGATCAAGTCCCGCGAGGGGACCGCTGCAGTCGCGTCGTCTTCGGCAACGATCACGGCCGTAGCCGCCAACGCCCTCTGTGCTGCCGCACGGTGTGGCCGCGATGTGCGAGGTGCGGGCGACGGTGACACTGGAGATGACGGCAGCTTCATCTTGGCCTCGTCTATGGCATCATCCTGCAGGGTGTCTGTAGCTGTGCCTCTGACGGTCGTGGGGCTGTCCACACTACCATTAGTGCTGCGGGTGCCGTCTTCTGACACCTTGGTCCGCTTGGAGGGCTGTGGCGAGCCGGTGGAGGCTTTCCTGCGAGTCATCGTGCCAGACAGAAGCTTGCAGACAGTTGTGATGCTGCAGCTTTTTGGATCGGCAGCCTCAAAGTCTGGCGCCAGGGACCTCTATCATGAAGGGTGGGTACAAATGAGAGTACTCTCGGTATTCAGCATGGCTACTCGATCTTGCATTTTGTGCATTCGCAAAGTCGCTCCTGTGTGGCCGCTGTCGGTCGGTTGTCCGTCGTATCAATACCGCAAACAGCTATATCCACATCTTGGAGCTGCAGACGATTTATGGGCAGCTACAAATATGGTCACCACAACGTACTAGCGCACGGTGTGCTTAAATATTTTTGAAACTGTTCTGGGTCGTGCCTGCACCAACAGACCAACTGAACCGTCGTTTACAGTTGCCCCTCTTTTCTGCAGGGCTACTAGCCAATAAGCATGCTTGACAGCAGGCTGCACTTGCAAAATTATTGTTGCTTCCTTCCTGGCCCGGCAGCCCAGCGCGTCTTGACGTGAATGGGAAGGAAGCTTCAGACGGGCGACACAGAAATTGACGAGAATCAAGAAACACACACATCACAGTTGACAACATCGACACTACGCGACGCCCCTACATAGGCCAGCTCTTGGTACAACACGAAACGAGCTGCAATAGATACGCTGCCACAATCTTTTCTGCACTTGATTCTCTCGCGCGCAGCCATCGCCAACTGCTGTACGACATCTCGACATTTTCTTCCTTCGTTGGTATCAGTATCCTTTCGTTTTTGTCGAGCTTCACGACCGACCTTCGCCTGGCCCAGGCCCTCGCATACAGCCCCAGAGCCCCTCCTACAGCTTCTCCGTCACTGGGGATGCCATGAGCGCCACGCCTCGAGTGCGCTCCGGCGCGTTCCCCCAGACGCCGACCACCATCCGCGTCGGCCGTGGCGCGCCACCAACACCTTCACCCAGTCCGCCCGTCGATGACATTCCCAAGCGCTCCTCCGCGGCACCCAAACCGCTGTTTGCATCGGCACGCTCGTCCAATATCTCGACACGAGGTTCGACTGCCGCGGCGGGAGCAGCTGCGGCCGCAGATTCTGCGGCACCAGGGCCTCTCATCCCGCTGGACGTTATTGACGCCCCGACGCAGCGTTTCTACGCCGTCGCCCTTTATGTCCTCTTGATTGCTTGGAAGTGCTACGACTGGGTGCAGCTGCTCGAGGACAATGGCGAGTCGTTCTGGCTGTTCCTCAAGTGGATCGGCCTCGACTTCGTCTTCCTGTTTGGACTGCCCGAGGTGCGCATTCCGTGGCTCGAGCTGTCTCAACCTGTGACCACTTTCCTCTTCGTCTGCCATGTCATAACCGACTATCTGCTCATGTTCAACATTGGCGTTCCCTGGCATGCGTGGTTCCTCGGCCTGCTCAAGATCTTTTACGACCGCGAGCTGTCCATCTCTGAGCACTACGTCAAGGCCTCCAGCATCTTGCAGAACTCGTCGCTCATCTCCGGTCGCCAGATCATCAACATATTGCCCGAGGGCTCGGCCATTTTGAACCCCAGCGGTCTGCCCTTCTGCATCGGTGGTCCGGGGGGTGCGGCTGCAGGCAGCAAGACCAACATTGCGTCTCTGCCGCTGTACTTCAACGCAACTATCCCGGCCGAGGTCGAGCTTGTGCGCCTGGATTTTGACACCAACGAGGAGGAAACGCTGCGTCTGACCAAGACGCAGCTCCGCGAGATTTCCAAGCTCGTCAAACGTCAGGAGGCTTCGGCCGACGGCACGCTGGCTGCTGTTCGCTTTGATGTGCCGGTCAAAAAGACGGGTGCGTACCGCCTAGGCCGCGTTCTCGACGAGTACAAGCTCGATGTGCAGCGCCCGAGCCCCTTTTCGTTTGTCGTGTCTTGCCCCAGTGCTCGCGTTGGTGGCGGCGGCGATCCCCTCTCGAAGCAATCCTCCTGGACCTCTTCGTCGTCCTCATCTGGTTCCATCACACGCTGCCACGGTGATCTGTCCGACCTGCTGCTCGAGGTGGATGGCACGCCGCCGCTCAAGATTGTCTACAGCCGGACCATCAACGGCAAGGACCACAGCTTCCACTTCCAGAGCCTACAGCCTGAGGGCTTCGTGTCGCCGCTCCTGGGCACTGTCCCTTCACGCTCATCTGGCTTGTCCTCTTCCGCTCCGTCGGCTCGCTCCCACGAGCCGCTTGACTCGGACGCTGTTGTTGCGGCCAACTTCCCCACTCAGGGGGATGCAGACATCTCTTGGGCCCGCTCTCGCCGCGTCTCTGTCGGCCTCAATGAGACCATGCACGTCGGCGGTGAGTGGCGCTACTCTATTGACGAGGTCCACGACGCCTTTGGCAACGTTGCCAAGTACAACGAGCCCGTTGAGGATCACGAGGTGCGCCCGCGCCCTCCCAAGCATCTGGTCCAGAGCTTCCATGTTCGCGAGCGCCCACGTATCCGGCTCCAAGGCTGCGACCTTCGCCAGCCGCTCAAGGTCGCCCGCGGCAAGTCGACGGCCTTCCCCGTCCGCTACGACATCCCCGGGGTGCGCCGTCCCGAAGACGGTACCGCCCACACGCTGACGTGGCAGTTCTCGCCCATCGACACTCTCACAAAGAGTGGCGACCACGGCGACGTTGTGAGCCTGGCGACGTTCAACGCCCGCCATGCCGACGAGATGCCCACCATCTCTACACCCGGTCTCTACACGCTCAAGTCGGTGTCGTCCGGCTCGTGTGAGGGTGAGGTGCAAGAGCCTGCGTCGTGCCTCCTGCTGAACCCGCTCGAGCCTAAGCTGGCGCTGCGCTCCGAGGGCATACCCGACAGCTGCGGTGGCAACTCAATCGGTCTTCGTGTCGATCTTGACCTCGTCGGCACGCCGCCTTTCCTCGTACGTTACGACGTCAGCTCCAATGGTGTCGTCCGCCATGAAAAGGTGCAGGTCTCCGGCATGCGCTACCAGCTCGAGCTGGTGCCCCGTGTCGCAGGCAACCACAAGTACATCTTCCGCTCCATTGACGACGCCGTCTACAAGTCCCAACCGCTTTCTGGCTCTGAGATGACTCTGGAGCAAAACGTTAAACCCGCTGCCCGCGCCTCCATCGAGCACCCCACGGGCAAGACCAACGCCTGTCTCCAGGATTCGGTGGGCGTCGCTATTGCGCTGTCCGGTGAAGCGCCCTTCACACTCGAATACGTGCTTCTCCACGAAGGCAAGCGCCGCGCCTTCAAGCAGGAGAACATTGACAAGTACCGCCACCGCATCGAAACGCCCGCGCTCGTCCAAGGCGGCGAGTACACCCTGGCCCTCACGAGCGTGCACGACCGCAGTGGCTGCCGCACGTTCTTACAGGGCACTGGTGGCGAGCTGAAGATCACGGTACGTCGCCAACGACCTCGTGCCGCCTTTGGCCTGCTCGAGAACAAGCGCCGCGTGTTTGTTGTTGAGGACGCAGTGGTGCGCCTACCCCTGCGTCTCACGGGCGAGGGGCCCTGGCGGGTCTCGTACCGGAACCTGGGCGTGGCGTTTGATGAAGCTGGCAAACCCACCCACCCCGGCCCGCTGGTCACCCGCAGCCTCAACTCAGGCAATGACTTCTTGCAAGTATCAGAGCGCGGCACGTACGAGATCATCGATGTTGCCGACAACCAGTGCGTTGGTCTGGTCGATAACACAGCCTCTGTCTTTGATGTCGACTGGTTCCCGCGGCCGAAACTCTCCTTTGTGCAGACCGAGGCCATCCAGGAGAAGGGCAACCTGTTTGTTAAACAGGACGTCTGTGAAGGTGACGTTGACGGCTTCGAAATTGACCTGCGCGGCTCGCCGCCCTACCATGTGGAATACGACGTGCGCCACAATCCTGCCAAGGGCTCGCAAGGGTCACTGATCCAAAAGCAGCTCGATGCCGCGCTTGGCCGCGCCTCCATCCAGATGGACACTAGCAAGGCTGGTACCTACCGGTATGAGTTTGCACCCCCGGCCGACACCCTTTATAACAACAACCGAGTCAGCTCGGGCGGCAAAGGCGTCCCGGCGCTGGTCATGCAGCAAACAGTCTACGCCAAACCGACGGCTGCTTTTGCCAAGGCCGGCCAGTCGTTCAAGTACTGCATGACGGAGCAGGACAACGAAGACCGGATTCCCTTGGTCCTGACGGGCGTGCCCCCTTTCTACGTCGAGATGGAGATCAAGCACCAGAGCGGTGTCGTGTCCGAGACCTACCGCGTGCCTTCTATAATGACGCACAACTACGGGTTACAGATCCCGCGCCAGCACTTGCGCCCGGGTACGCAGCAGGTGCGCATTCGCAAAGTCCGTGATGCGCGCGGCTGCCAGCAGAAGACGGACGATGTTCCGGGCGTCAGCGGCAAGAGTGGCTTGAGCGACTCGCTGCCGGCCTCCACGTCGTCTGTGCAAGTGCAGCTCTTTGAGGCACCTGCCATCTATGCGCTCGAGTCGCGCACGGACTACTGCGTCGGTGAGCGTATTAGCTACACGCTGTCGGGCACACCTCCCTTTGATGTGTGGTATACATTTGGCGGTGTTTCACGCAAGGGCGCGTCTGCCACGACCACATTCCGCCGCGTCGCCGAGGCGCCCGGCGAGTTCACCATCTCGGGCATCAGTGACAAGGCGTCAGAGTGCCGTGCAGCAGTCAACCTGACACGCGTCATCCACCCGCTGCCATCTGTGCGCGTGTCGCAGGGCCGCACGTCGCGTGTCGACATCCATGAGGGCGGTGCCGTGGAGATGATCTTTGAGTTTGGCGGCACGCCGCCTTTTGAGTTCACTTACACGCGCAGCACCAACGCGCGCAAGGGCCAGCGCAGCCAAGTGCTCGAGACGCGCCACGACATCTCGTACGAGATGACGAAGACGGTGCGCGCGAGCCAGGAGGGCACATACGAGGTGGTTGCCATCAAAGACAAGTTCTGCGCCTTTTCGACACAGCGGGGCGCCGAGGGCGCCGATGGAGGCAGCGGCAACAAGCGGAATTGAAAGGCGAGGGGGCGGGAGATGTTTCTCGGGATGCAAGGCTTATGTCTGTTTTACCTTGTGTGTGTGTGTGTGTTTTTCCTTCTGAGTGTCTATCTGTGCTTCGTTTTCATCTTTGGTTTTTCTGTATCGAGCCTACCTCATTTCCCCTTCTCCCCACCTGTTCTCATTTTGCATAAGCAGGGCGTTTGGAACCAATTTGTGTTTATTTCAATCTCGTTGTATAGGAACTGGACAAGAATAAAGAAGACGGTTAATAAAATCTACATCGTCTACTACTATTGCATGCTGCGTCGTGCCAACTTTGTAGACGTCCTAACTAGAAACCCTCCTTTTTGGCCTACTGGGTTATAAGGTACATCGTGGCTTCCAATTTGGGTAGACTCCTTTTCGTATTTTTTTGGGTTGTTTGTTGTGTACATGTTTGTCAATGGCGCCTGCCTTGCTTGGGCATGACGCCTCCTTCCCCCCATCCCATAAGTCCATAAGTCTAAAAACGCGTTAAATAACTCGGTATTATGTCCTCGCTCAAGATATGTCCCATTTTCTCCTCTTTTGTTCTTTTGACCCTTATATTGCAACCTGCACCCACGCAGACTGGTCGTTCACGGCCTCATTTTCGCCGTACTCGCGATTAATCGCTGTCTTCCTCATCACTCTCCTCGTCCTCGTCATCTTCGTCGTCCTCGTCACTGTCGTCCTCCTCGGCCGTCTCGAGCCACTCGACAAGCACACGGCACCTCTCGCGAGCTCCCGTCATGCTGCTATCGCCAGAGCCGCCACTGCCGCCCTCGGCTGCGCGACCATCGGCCCACCAAGACAGGATACCCTCCTCGTCAAGCACGTCGCTGTCGTACAGCTGCTGCAGAAGAGCCGCAAGTAATGTCCCGGGCGCAGCCAGGCCCTCGACATGCTTGCCCTTGTTCTCCTTCTCCTCCCGGATACGCATACCGACAAGAGTCCGCTGCAGCGCAAGCACGAACTCGACCTGCTCGTCGGACGAGCCGCTTCCGACGCCAACATCGCGCACAAATTTGGCGGCGCCCGTCTTACTCTTGACGGCGCGCTCGGCCGCCTTGGAGGCGTCGAGACCGCGGCCCTGATCACCAGGCGTACCAACGGGGGCGGCCAGCTCGCAAGCGCGGCGTGCAAACGCAGCCGCCACCGCGCGACGCACAGCGCCATCGGACGCGTCCGTGGACAGACGCAGGCCCATGAACTCGAGACGTGCAGACTCAAAGTCGCCGCTAGCGTCGTCGCGCAGAGCATCGAGCAGGCCATTGACAGCATCCGTGTGGAAGGAGCTGCTGACTGTGCTCACGCCATCGGCACCGATCAGGCCCGTTGCGGCACCCGGACCAGATGCGAAACGGCCAGCCAGGCCGTCGCTCGTCGAAAACCGCGAGCCGTCGAGTGACGCAAACGACGGCAGCCGCGATCTTGATCCCCGCTCGCCGCCTGCGTTGCTAGCGCTGAGGAAATCACCGCTCTTTCCACCTTTTACCGCTGCGTCTTCGTCATCGTCGTCAAACACAGCATTGTCGTCACCAAAGCCGCCGTCGGATTCGAAGCTAGAAATAGAAGAGGTGGAGAGGTTGAGGTGTGCGGTGGAGTACACGAGGGATCGTTGCAGAGACTCGGCGGTAATCGCATCGCTCTCTTCGTCATCGTCATCGTCGTCCTTTGTCGAATGGTAGTACGTCGCACCCTTACCTCCAGCACCGACAACAGCCGCGTCGTCAACGGCAGGGCTGCCATTCGACTGGGAGACAGACAGTACGACAGGGTTGCCTGCTTCAGCAGTGAGCCGGACCTTGTCAGCAACAGCCACGCCAAAGGACAGAATGGAGCCGGCCGGGACGACACAGTCGGTTCCGACCTGGACGTTGTTGGCGAGGATGGATTGTGTGACCACGGTGTTATCGCCAATGACGACATCGTCCCACAGGTAGCAGTTTTCTAAGCGCACATTGTTGCCGATGCGGCAACGGCGGCCGATTGTGCTCCCGGAAACTACAGTGTTCGCGCCAATAGCTGTGTGCAGGCCAACCGCCGCACGGGATACTAATGCGGACGGATCGATTGTGACACTACGCTCGGCCGAAACGCCCACTCCAGCACCACCGCCGACACGGCCAGCGCGGCGCCTTACGCTAGCGTAGGAGTGGCCCGGGAGGAGATTTGTGTCGGGCACCATGGGGTAGGTCCAGCGGCTGAGAATGTCCCGGCTGACGGCGTCGTACATTTGCAGGCTGTTGACACGCGCGGCATAGCTGCCGCTTGCACTGCTGTGGGGGTGCGGCTGGTCACCAACAATTTCCGTATAGATCAACTTCCCGTTCAGCTCCCAGTCCTTGAGGACGTTGTGCAAGAAATTCTTGCGTGGCAACTCGCAGTCAAAGCTCTCGGTCCACAGGGCCAGGACGTCAGGCGTGCAGATGTCGATGCTGCAGTCGATCAGGTCGGAGCGGATCGTGATGTCGGCATTCTTCTCGAGGAAGGCGGGGTCAATGACGAGATAGCGGTCGTCGCCATGGTCGAGAGGCGTCATCTCGTCGTACTGGAGACAACGGCCGGAGGTAGCATCAAGGACAAAGATGGGCTCGATGCCATGGGCGCGGGTGTGATGGTCGTTGCTGCTTCCGGCGGCCACATCGCAATCGCCACCCTCGCGCAAGACTAGCGTCATGACGGCGTCGCGGTTCGCTTCACGGCGCGCTCGGTGGCGCGCAAGTATGGGGTCGAGGGGCACATTGGAGACGACGTCTCCGTGGACGAGAACAAAGTCGCCGGCGATGATGCCGCGCTTGTCGAGATCACGCAGGAAATCGCCAAGCGACGAAGCCTGGGCAACACGGATGATATCAAGAGACTGGAAGGGGTTCGTCTTGCTGGTCGGCGACCACCGTGGCGACGCAGCCAGGTAGCTCTCGACTTGGTCGGCAAATGCGCCGCAGTAGACGTACGCTTCTTGGACGCCGTTCATGGCTAGGTACTCGAGGGTGTATTCGATGAGAGGAGTGTTTGCGAGGGGAAGGAGACACTGCGAAAAGCCCCAAAAGGCCTTGGTCAGTATTAATGGACGACAAATACGGCTTCAAGGACCGGGATATATGCGCAAGATCCATACTCTTGGGCGGTCGATTGTCAGTGGCTTGAAACGGTCTTGGAAGGAGTCGGCGAGGACCTGAAAAATAAAGGCAGGCGCCGTGGTCAGTGTCTGTTCTCCCACATCGCAGGCAGCGTAGCAGCGGCCGTCGAGAGGCACATCAACCACGGGAAACGTACAACGGCCTGAAGGACGTCTTCGCCTTTGTCGTCCGCGGGGCCTTTGCCCCCGGTCTTTTTGCCGCGGGCGCCGGCGCCCTTTTTGTTGGCTTGCGACATGAGAGCGTGCGCACAATGTATAGGAGATGGCAAGAGATTGCTGAAGAGATCAGTAGGGTCCAGGAAGGTGGTGGCAGGCGTGCGCCTTTTTGAGAGGGCTCTGTCTCTTGATCTTGGTATGTCGCAGCAGTGACGTTGTGTGGTGCGGTTTCGCGTTTTGTGACTCAAAAAAGTTACTGGTGTGGGCATTTGTGTGTGCAGTGAGTCGCAGTGGCCAAGGATTAACAAATGTGCCGAAAGAGGAATAGCGTCCATGTCGGGAAGCTTTGCGGTTGGTGCCATTCCCATCACTGAAAGAAAGTATCTCGATCAAACGTAGTGAAAATCAGGCTGCTTCCGAACACCGCCCAGTGTGTTGACCTGGCATTATCGGATGCAGGTGATGCTCGCTCGTTCTCTATGTAATGTAAGTTCCAATTCCGCTGTTTACATCTGTGCCTTTTAACAGAATTTTGATCACGTGGGTTTCCACGTGCATTGTCCCGATTGATCGACGGTAATCCCAATCCCATACTCCTCGGCAGCAACTATATCGGCTTTGCCTGACGGCATCGTTTCTACCGAGAAGGACGAGGATTCGAACTGCTACACTATTGACGAGGACAGCAGAGCACATAGAAAAGGAGGACTACGCTGCCAACTGATGTTCCAAACAAGATGCTAAAGTCATTATTGGTGATTGCATTTAATGCAATGCCTCGGCCCCTTCTCTTATATGAATGCATACCCAAGAGGCGACATATAAACAGGAAAAACTCGAATAGATACATAAACAAAAACAGCCGAAACGCCATTATTTAGCCCCATATCCAGCCACTGACTCTGTTGTCTTGGCAGAGGCAGAGCAATATATATGATCCCAACAGATATCTCCTGTAACAAAAAGACTCTAAGCCAACCAGAAGACTGCTCACCTGCCCGATTTCGGTCCCGCAGGTATCATGCAGCAAGTAGCGAGTGTTGAAGTCGTAACCACAAGACGAGACGATAGACACAAAAGAGAAACGAAAGATGGCGATGAACGGAGAGAAGAGAAGAAAAAAGAAGATGCCGGGCGTTCACGTGTATTGACCGCCGGGGCCATACAGCCGCTGTCGTTTCTCGGGCCGGTCGTCATTCGCCATGCCCTCCACCATAGTGCGCATTGGGGTGCCAGCCATCGCTGCGGCCGGGCCACCTTGGTAGCCAGGTCGAGAGGGCCCACCAGCGCCACCATTTACCGGTGCTTGCAAGTACCCGCCTGCGCTGTCCATGTTGGGAGAGGCGTGCTGAAGTTGGCCGGGGCCCGGCGAGTGCCACGAGGAAGATGTTGCTGGCGATTGGATCGGAGTCTCGAACTTGACTCCGCCCAGATTCGGGGCAGCCTGCATACCAGCCATGGCACCCATGGTCGAGGCGTTCACATACCCGGGCTGAGGTCCACCGGCGGCCTGCTGGCCCATGTCCTCGCCACCAGGCTGCTGGGGGTTCTTCAGCAGGTACGGTAGTAGCTTCCTAAGGATCCGAACCATGCCCTCTTTTGTGAACGGCTTCGCCAGAACATCGTTCATTCCTACAAAAAATCATTTTAGTGTATTGTCCAAATCGAATATAACTTCGCTCGCAATAACGAACCA